AGAGAGGGGGAGGGGAGAGAGGGGAGAGTTTATTTTTATTCTAGTGTATAGGTATTTTGTCTTCATGTATGTCTCTATGTGATATGCATGCAAATATCTGTAGAGTCCAAAGGAGGCTGTCAGAACCTCAGACAGGTGTGAGTTCAGACTGCTGCATGGGTTCTGGGAGTTGAACCCTGATCCTCTAGAAGAGAGGCCATTTATTTTCACCACTGAACCCATAACTATTCTTTTTTTTATTCTTTTTTTTCCCCCCGAGGCAGGGTTTCTCTGTGTAGCCCTGGCTGTCTTGGAACTCACTCTGTAGACCAGGCTAGCCTCGAACTCTCGAACTCAGAAATCCACCTGCCTCTGCCTCCCAAGTGCTGGGATTACAGGCGTGCACCACCACCGCCCAGCATAACTATTCTTTTAATGGTAAAAGACACACAATGTAAAATTTATCATTTTAGCCATTTTAAGTGGGCCATTCTGTGCCAGTACGACTATCCATTTCTAGAACTTTCCCACCTTCCCAACTTGAAATTCTGTACTCATAAATAAATAAAACTCCTCTCCTCCCACCAGCCTGTGGTAACACCTGTTTTACTCTTTTCATCACTTTGTTGGTTCTAGGTACTTTACATAAGCAGAATACCTGGGCATGGTTGCTCACCCCTGTAATCTTAACACTCATGATGTGCAGGCAAGTGAATCAAGAATTCAATGTCGGCCGGGCGGTGGTGGCGCACGCCTTTAATCCTAGCACTTGGGAGGCAGAGGCAGGCGGATTTCTGAGTTCGAGAGTTCGAGGCCAGCCTGGTCTACAAAGTGAGTTCCAGGACAGCCAGGGCTACACAGAGAAACCCTGTCTGGAAAAACCAAAAAAAAAAAAAAAAAAAAAAAAGAATCCAATGTCATTATCTTCAGCCATAGAGAGTTCAAGGCCAGCTTAGGCTAGATGAGAGCAATCCCCCCCCCCACACACACACAGAATTATATAATACTTGTCCCTTTGGGTCTATTTCATGTCACATAGGGTGTTTTAAATTTTGTAGTAAGTGTCAGAATTCCATTCCTTTTGTTTTGTATTGATTTTGAGACAGCGTCTCTCTACATAGCTCTGGCTGTCCTGGAATTCACTATGTAGATCCCCTAGCCTCAAATTTATAAATATGCCTGCCTTTGCCTCCCAAGTGCTGGGATTAAAGGTGTGCCATCGTGCCCAGGTCCATTTCATTGTAAGATCAAATAGATCATCAAGCCTGACACTTTATCTGTGAGCACTAGGATGAAGGACTCGTGGGGCACACACCACAAAGCAGAAGTCCTGAAGTCGACAAAGGCATCTTCAAACCAGCTTTAATGCAGCTTGGATTGCTCAGGTCTCATGGCAGGTCTGGGCAGGCTGGGGACCCAGAGAACCACCAGATAAGACAGGAGGGGGCTGGTGAGAGCGAGGGCAAGTTGGATCACAGCACTCTCCAGGTGCAGTTTAGATAAATGGTGGTCTGTGCCAGGTGTGGGACAAAGTGGGATATTTTAACTGCTACAAGGTGCTCATTTTAGGTGCAGAGAAGATGGGATATTATGGGCCCTAAACTCAAAGAATGCAGGACATAGGAAAGTCGCTGTTATACTTAAAGCAGTGTTCCACCGGCTTTCAGGACTCTCCTAGCTGATCCATCCTACATATTCCTGCCAGGCAAATCAACTCTTGGCACAGGATATCTTCCAGTTCAAACTCTTTGATCAGCTCCCATAACGAAGAATCACCACCTCTAAGCTGGGATAAGCATAGCCCCAAGGCCAATGCCCTAAGGGGCAGCTAATTAATTCCAAGACCTACCTGGGTTGTTTCTGCAGCGTGAATTCTACTGGACAATGGCTGGCAGCAAATATGACTTTTTTTTTTTTTGGTTTTTCGAGACAGGGTTTCTCTGTGTAGCTCTGGCTGTCCTGGAACTCACTCTGTAGACCAGGCCAGCCTCGAACTCTCGAACTCAGAAATCCGCCTGCCTCTGCCTCCCAAGTGCTGGGATTACAGGCGTGCGCCACCACCGCCCGGCCAAATATGACTTTAAGTCACAACAAAGCAATATACGACAGAGCATGATATTTGCATATGGTCTAAGGATGAACTTTGAAGTTTGCTCTGGATTGGTTCACTTTCCCCTATGCACACTATATTACAAACTGACTTCCGCCAGTGCCACCCAGTCAGAGTTTGGAAGGTGGGCACAATAAAGCTTTTAAGATCCAAATGCCTTTGTAGGTTTTGCACCCACACCACCTCCAAGTCCTGACCTTCCAGCTGGCAAAAGTTAGGCTGCCTCACTTAAATCATTCCTGATTTCTGGACAATACATCCTAGCAATTACTTCCTCCAGCATATTAACCCTCAGTGGCTCAGTTTCCTCACCTAAGCAACGGTAGGGATGTTAGTACTCAAGGAGTGAGTACACACACATACAGACAGCACTTAGCACAGTGCCTGCTCAGCAGGGTGCCCTCCGTTTCGCCAGAGTTGCTTTCCACGTGTCCTCCCTTGCTCATCCCAAACTCCGAGTCTTGATTGAATATCCGGCGCCTCTGTCCCATCTCGGGCGAGGCCTGGGCTGCCATGCGCTTGTGGCATGACGAAATGGCCTGGCAGATCCAAGCCTTACCTGCCCTCGATTCTGAAGTCATAACTGAGATGGCTTTGGCCCAAGTAATCTCTGCAGGCCTAATGGAGCGCGCCCCGCCCCCTCCCGTAGATGCCAAGACCCGGGAGGGAGACCCTAACTAGAAGTTTCGAACACAGGATCCCCACAAGTGTGCCAGCCGTGACAGCCACCTGGGCAGCCCAGGACTTCGGCGTGCTGGCGGGTCCCGGCGTAGGGCGGAGCTGGTCCGTCCCGGAGCTCGCCCCGCCCCGTCCCGCCTAGCCGTAAGCTGACCGAGCGGCGGCCCGCGGGAGAGAGGGGAGGAGAAAGCAGAGAAGAGTGGGGGCCGGCGGCCGAGGGAGAAGGGAAGGGACGCCGGGAGCAGACGCGCGGGGACTCGGCGAGGGTGCGTCCGGAGCAGCGACAACTCCGGGAGTCCCAACCAGGGAAGCGAGGAGGATGGTGGCGGCGGGACGCGGGCCAGCCCGGCCGCGGGCGCCGTGAGCCGGAGCGCAGCGCCCGGCATGCGGCTGCGGTCCCCGGCCTCGGCCCCGCTCCGTCCCCCGCCGCGCGCCCCCGCCGAGCGGCGCGCACCATGCCGCGGGTGCCCGCGACCCTCTACGCCTGTCTGCTCGGGCTCTGCGCGCTCGTGCCGCGCCTCGCAGGTAAGCCGCGCCGCCCCGCCGCGCGCTCCGCAACTTTTGCTCGCCCGCGGCCGCTTGCGGGAGCCGAGGTTGCAGTGCTCTCCCGGGCGCTCCCAGATGGGTCGGGGGGACACCGGCTTCGGATCTGCGTGCTCTGGCTGGTTCCCTCCCGGGCTGAGGAGGAGCCTTCCCTTCCTGTGTAAACAGCGTGCGTCTGGTGGCGGAGCCCGAGGGCGCTGGGGACTTGGGAGGGAAAGCCTCCCTGCCCGGTGCTGGGGCCCCAGCTCTGCGCTCGCCTGCACAAAGCAGCCCTTGTAGCCCTGGGGGTGGGGAGTGATGTGGGGGGCCACACTGCGGCGGCCCGGTCATCTTGGAGGTCTGTGGATAATGCAACTTTCTCTAAGTTTGCTCAAAATTAAAAGTTGTCACCACTCTCCGTAAGTCCGAAGTCACGGCCCCACATGGGATACCGCCATCTGATCCTGTTCTGTGCGGTGATTCATAAACACGGTGTCAGGACTGCGGAGGGGCTGCAGGCGCTGCCTTAGCCGTACGCTCCCTGGCGGTGATGCAAGAGCCCCTAGCTACCTGCGTTAAGTTTTCAGACTTGGGAGTGGCAGTTAAGCCTTTAGAGCCGGGCGGTGGTGGCACACGCCTTTCACTCCCCCATGGTGGGGAGGGGCAGAGGCAGCCTGGTCTTTAGAGCAAGCTCAGACAGCTAAGGCTACACAGTGAGACCCTGTCTCAAAAAAGAAGAAAAAAAGAAAAAAGAAAAGAAAGTCCTTACGGGAAGGATGATAGTTGGCGCTGGAGCTGCCAGGGACGTGAGCTTGTCCTACCTCCTCCAAACCTACCCACTCAAAGCAGGAGTTTCCTAACTTTCTCCTTCCCGTCGGAAGTAACTGTGTATAGATTAAGAGTGCGCTATTTACTTTGAATCCCGAAGTACTCGTTTGCCTTTCAGGGCCCTGCGGTTGCCTGGCTCTTGAGGGGAGAACTCTGTTCCCCCTACCGCGTCTCATTTACATGAAGGAGGTTGAGGTTTCCATCTGAGAGCGAGGAGGCAGTTGAGGAAACAAAAACTGTCGTTCAGGCCCCAGTCCAAACTTAATAGTGTAGCAAGGCTGCCTTTATGGGAAAATAAGTAGATTAGTGGGTCCCACCCACCCCTCCCCCCAATCTGGCAACCAGTGTCCATCTTTCGTGTTCCAAAGGGTCCCCAGGGAAACGCAGAGATGTAACTTGAATCACCATCCTCTGGCGTATATCCTTGTCAACTGATCTCACTTCTTTAGGACAGGGTTTTAGTTTGAAGTTATACTCTTTATAGTTTGATGAAAACTTTTTCTTTTAATTGTGTGTGTGTAGCCGGGCGGTGGTGGCGCACGCCTTTAATCCCAGCACTTGGGAGGCAGAGGCAGGCGAATTTCTGAGTTCGAGAGTTCGAGGCTAGCCTGGTCTACAGAGTGAGTTCCAGGACAGCCAGGGCTACACAGAGAAACCCTGTCTCGAAACCCCCCCCACCAAAAAAAATTTTGTGTGTGTGTGTGTGTGTGTGTGTGAAATGATGTATTTAAATTTGTTGTCAGAATAAACCCTCAGCAACCTTACCTTACTTTCTCCTTTTCTGTTGGCATTCTGTGAAATTCAACTTTGGGATGGCTCACGTTTCTTTCCGGTTAGCCATTTGATTTGAATGAAAACTCAAACATTTCTCCATTGCAAAAAATTCTAATCTTTATTAGTTGAGTTTCCTGGAAACCTGTTTTTATCTTATTTACTTCCCATCCCCTGACTCTTCCCAGATCCATTCCCCTTCCCTGTGAGCCCAACTCTTTGTCCATATAAAAGCCATATAAAATGGCGTGGTCCTCAATTTGAGCCTTCTCTACTTAGGAGGGGCTACACTCTTAGAGAAAACTTCCCTCCCTGCATTCAACTTTTGTCAATAGCTCCAAGGCTGGGTCTTTATTATTATTGTTGTTGTTATTATTATTATTATTACTATTTTAATGAACCCCCCACCTGGCCTGTAACTCACTATGCAGACCAGGCTGGCCTCAAATTTCCAGAGATTCCTTTGCCTGTACCTCCCAAATGCTGGCATTAAAGGAGTGCCCCACCCCTCAGGCGTCCTTCAGATTATTAGAGGCATTAGTTTTCCGTCTGCATGTGATTTCCCCTCTTTGAAAGTTCCAGTGCCTCAGATCAGGCTCTTCCTTCCAGAGAATGGCCATGGGGGACCATGTGGCTTTGTCTCTTGTCTCTGCGTGGGAGTGGTGAGGCCAAGCCAAGGGCTGTTTGGTCTTTTGTACCCTATTTTGGAGCCTAGGTGGTTTACTTTCAGGGTCTTCAGAGTTAGCTTTGTCCGCTGTGCTGTGATCACAGGCTTGTCTTTTGCCATCCCTTGCTGCCAGCCAGTAAAGTCAGTAAAATGGAATAAATCTGTTACCAGCCTCCGGACTGGGCCACCTCCCTCTTAGGGTACCAGGTCGGAAGGACTGGCTCATTTGGATAGACTTAGGGTCCCAATGTTGCTGACGTGCCTTCATTCCGTTTACCCTTACTCTTGTCCCCTCCACCCCCTCCTCTTTCATTCTTTCTTGAAAACTGGCCCTTCTCCAGTCCATCTCTTGCTTGCTAACGGGAACATAATTTGGAAGGAAAATAAAAGTTACCTTGGGAAAGAATAGTATTGTGACGAATAGTGTCCATATGCAGGGTTCCTAGACTTGTCAATGAATCCAGCAAGTAACAGACCTTAAGTTTAAGGGGCTCATTGTAAATAAGCCTTTGCTGTGCTGCCCCACCCTTGCCCCCCACTAGGATAACTCCTTAATTATTCCAGGCTAGAACCTGACACTCAGGCTCTTCTCTCAAAACCAGGGAAGGGCTGCGCTGGGGAGGCCTTCCATGCCCACTTCCGTTCTAAAACAGAGGGAGGAGTCTGGTCTCGTTCCTGCTGCATGGCTGGAGTCATACTTGCTGCCGTAGTTTATTATTTTATAAGCAATCAGATGTTCTTTTAGTGAGTGCCCTGCAAATTAGTGTGCTCCGAATACCAAGAGCCCTTTGTTGATTTAGAGAATTCGAATTGGCAGCCCCGGTCCTCTTCACCCTGTCCCTGGCCCACCGTGGTTGTAGGCAGATGCGGGATGGGGGTGGGGCTGGGGCTGCTGGAATTTGGCTGGGTTTGCCGCTCCCTTTAGGTAACCAGGCCCAGACGCGGAAATGCAAAGGGTGGCCTTGGTTCATAGGCTACTGTTTACCTTCTGAGATTTGCATTTTAACTTCGCCGGCTTTAGTCAGAGGGGGCTTTTCTTGTAGGGGATCGAGGCAGAAGAGGGCAGGGCCTAATTAGTCTTAATTAGTATTCCTCCCCCGCTTGTTCTCCATGCTTATTTAGCTACTGAGGCAACGAAGAATTAAAATATCTAAGTAGTTTGGCAAATCGCCCTTTGTGCCTGCCTGCCCTAGTAACAACTTTTTCTTCTTCAGCGGGGTCACGGAAATATTCTGGGAGGTTTTAACAAGATCAGCAATGTGGGGTAATATTCTTAAATGATAAGGTGGCTTTCAGAGTCTGTGTGCTGCGTGGGTTAGGGGCTAGGGTCTGGGAGTCTGGGGTGGGGGCCCCACACAAGTGTTTTCAGTTGGCTGGGCGAGCGCTTCGGAAGACACAGATTTAAATTACGATTCATAACAGTAGCAAAATTGTATTTATGAAGTACCAGTGAAAATAATTTTATGGTTGGAGGTCACCACAACATGAGGAGCTGTATTAAAAGGTCGCAGCATTAGGAAGGTTGAGAACCACTGCTTTAGAGGGTCATAGGCACCCATTTGTTTTTGCTTTGATTAGGTGCAGGTTTTGGTCGGCTGGGGCAAGACTCGGCTCCAGGGCCGACAAGCTGACTCACCCAGTAGGCGGAGCCCTGCAGCGTGGGGCCAGCCTCACTCCATCCCTTCCGCAGCTTTGCCATAGTTGTTCCGATGTGTTCCCTGTCCCTGGTAGAGCCAGGAACTACTTCTACACCGGATCTTTTAATTATTCTTATCCCTCACTCAAAGGTAATCCTGTTAGAACTCCTCAGATCACATCTTGCTGCCTAGAGCCTTCTAGGCTTCCGGTTCTGCTGGAAGCCCTGTGGCCTCCGGCTCTTCTTCCGTAATCTCTCACCCCTGTCTCCTCACAGACTTTACGTTGCCCTCCCCGCGTGCGTTCTCCTGCCTGGACTGGTTTCCTGGTAGCTGCTGTCGGGCCTGGTCATGGTGACTACTGTTCAAGGCCAAGGTCTCCAGCCGCTGTCATCCAAAGCTGCCTCCTCGTTCCTCGTTTCTTGGTTTCTCCCCTTGGCTCCATCTACCGTCCCACCTTGTTCCTTCTCCGTTTCTCTTAATTGCTCCCCCCCACCCCCTCCAGGCCTCACTTTGAAGTCAGGGTCTGTATGGGCAGCTGCTGTTAGGAGGAATCATTCTGGGGGCAGCGCTACCACGTTGCAAGGTGTCAAGATTCGTTGAGCTGGAATCCATGATAAAGGCGGGTTGCTTCAACCTCTGAACTGTGTGTACTGGAGAGGCCGGGCGATGCGCCCAATGTGTTTTGTTTTTTTTTTGTTTGTTTGTTTGTTTTGGTACTCAATTGACCTTTCCCATAGCTTTAGAACCTCAAAGAATATGGAAGTTTTAGATCTCCACACCCAGTTTCCCTGTTTTATCAGCATCTTACATGTTAATAAGTGTGGTGTAGTTGTCAAAGTGGATGAACCATATTGACACACTGATTAACCAAGGTCGACACTGCTCAGATGTCCTGGGGCTTTACCCTTTCCCGTTCCAGGATCCATTGGAGTGCCACATTACTGTCATGCTCTCTTGGGTGCCTCTTGGCTGGGATGGTTCGGTCTATACTTGCATTAGTTGCTTTTGACAATTTAGAGTTCTGGTCATTTATTCTGCAGACACTGCCTCTGTTTTATAGACACTAATTTCTTTTTTTCTCTTGAGTAGGTGGAATCTTA